ATGGCAGCGGTAGTGTGAGGTGTCACTCAGCAAAGAATGATGTGGGAAAACCAGAAATATTTTAAGTATAGTGCCGAATCCCATTTTTTTGGTAGCAGAATGCTGTATTTTATTTTCTTCAGCCAATAGGTATTGACATTTTAAATTCCTCCTGAGGCAAAGAAATCTTTTTCTGCTAAATAGTTAAATAAGCTGGATAAAAATAGAACCTAAACTTTGTTTGGAGCAGCATTTGAGTCCAAAGGCACCACAGCAATGGTTTGGAATATACTGCATTTCATACAAGTATTGACAGAAAGTGTGTATTAAAGTGTTAAATACAGGTTCCCTTCTTGTTTGCATAGATGAATAATTTTGCATTTATAAAAGGGGTTGGGTTGTTGTTTTTTTTTAAATATCGGAGCTTTGTATGTACCAGGTTCTCAAGTTGTCTAGGTGTAGCAAGGTATGAAACACTTGGGTTTTATTAAATAGAAGTTGCAGGTATGAGGATTAGTTCTGTTTTATAATACACTTTATTTCGTATGTTCTAAACTGGCTTTAAATAATTAATAACTGGAATGGACACAAAGGATCTTTTTACCTGGGCGTGATTAGATACATTCACCTGCTGAAGCTGTTAGGGATACAAACTTAACACGTTTCCTTTGTTCTGCAGGTGCGGGTGTTGGGAGGTGACAGCCAGCACTCCTTGCCTTGCTTGATGATTTTAGCTGGTTCTCCTCACGCTGCCGTGCGTTGTAATAACTGGTTTTGGCTCTCGTTCGTACTCGTGCGCGGTGGCAGCGTACACTTATCAAATGCACGGTCTGTGTGAGAGGCGATCGCTTGTTATTTTATTACCTCCTTCGCATACCTGCTGTCTGCCAAAGAGGGAGGCCAGGAGCCCACCCGTACAGTTTGCACAGCACCTTCTCGGCAGGGAGCTCGTGCAGAGCATCCGGCCAACGCGCTTTGTGCGGAGGGAGTTATTTGGGGAGGGGGGTGGATTTTCACAGCGATGGAAGGAGGCAGAGGAGGAGTGTTTGCTAACAACCCCGACGAGATCTGAAGTTCTTCGCCGGCACCGATTCTGCCGAGATGCATTTGAACTGCTTTGTGAAGGGGGTATCTGCTCAGGCTGCAGAATTAAAATGCTGCGTGGGGTGTGACTTACCCACCTGGAAAGGGATGCGTGTGCTCAGAGCCGCCTTCACAGCTGATTTTAGGCTGGGGGTCAGCTGCGTGCCGTTCTTCTCAAACGTCTGTAACATACTCACTGTGGCCCCAACGCCCAGCACTTTGCAGATGGAGCGGTGCTCTGGGGGAAGGCAGAGACAGCAGAAGTGGCCTTCGGCACCATTGCCTCCCGGGTGCCTCCCGGTGTTTTCCATATTGCAAAGGCTATGGCACATGGGAACGTTCAAGGCCCAAAACGTCCTGCAGTTCATACCGCTGTTGCCCTCACAAAGGAGATCTCCAGGAGCGGCGTGCTCTGGAGGCTTTGCATACATTAGCTAATGTCCTTCCAGCAGTTCGCCGTTCCCTCACCCTCAGTCAGTGAGGACGCTGCTCCCTCTTTGCACCCCCCCAGGGGCCCCCAATACCCAGGGTGTGCACCGCAGCATGCAGGGGATCGGGGCACTAGGCATTAGTTATTCCTGATTTGTTTGCTTGCTTTTTTGTAAGGTCAAATCCACAGGCGTTACTGGGGACAAAAAAACCATCACTTTGCTTTGCCCACAGCTAGGGGCTTAGCGCTATGCGAGTGGTACAGCTGTAAACCCCAGAAATGTTATTCTAAACGGTTTTTTTACAGAATAATTCAAATAGATGTGTCCTTAGCAATAGAGCACTGAAATGTAGAATGCATATCATGAGTGACTCTGCAGGTATAAATATAAGCAAGACAAATCGTATAGCTCTGTCAGAAAAAACCCAGCAGCACTCAGCACATGATCCTTAATGTGCTTTGGTCAATATCTTTCTCTGTATCAATGGAAGCTCATTAAAAGAAGGTATTGCAGACGAACTGAGCCATGCCGTATTGGTTCTTGCCAAAGCTTGACATTTTTAATACATTAATAATATGCCTGTAATGTAATGGAAAACTATTAATCAGAACTGGTTATATGCCAGAAATTTAAGCTATAATTGGCTGCTTCTTGTCAGGAATGTCTGTCGTACACTGCTACAACTGCCTAATGCTCAGATGTCTTGCACTCCTCTGCACTTTTTCCTTGTCAGTGCACTAAATTCGATCGATGTTATAGTCTATAATTCTGTGTAACGACCATCATTATGACTCTGGCTTACTTTAATGAGAATTCGTTATATGGGAAGTATTTTAGCACAGTGTGTTAAGGTAGTGGCTTGCTTCACATTATTTTAGTCCCATCCAGTCCTGTTTATTAGCGTATCTGAGTCTCAGCAGTTATAAAAGGTTATGGGTAGCTGAAGAGCTAGCAAGGAAAATATTAAAGAAAACAAATTATTTTTGCCTGAATGTACAGGCTTGTGGTCTAAGGATTATTAAACTGAGTAACTTCTTGTTTCTATACAGAAACATGATATTCACCTACTGTTTATTCCACCTATGACCAAGCCTTCTCCAATACAGAGTATGTTTTGATTTGTCACAAATTTAAAATAATTTGGCTTCTTTTTTAGCAGAGCAGTTGTTTCCCTTTTGTATAATGACTGTTCTGGGGTTTGGAGGTATTTTTTTCCCCTGCAAAATAGTAAAATACATTGGAAAGGGCTAGAGGAAAAGAGTATGAGGTGTCTTTAGAATGACATGGAAGTGTTCTCTGAATTATTGAATTCCAAGATAATAAATAAACATTCCCACTAAAACCAAAAAAGAATATAAGGTCACTAAAAAAGCAGTAGTACTACACATTGTGCTTCTTGAAAAGATTTAATTTTAATTTGGTCTTAGATATTTCTGCTTTTGTGTCAAATTCAGATTTGAAGCTTAAATATATTTGAACTAACTGAGAATTGTTATTGCATGAAAATTCAGATATTCTCTGCATATTCTGATAAAATATATGAGAGTTGTATGGTAACACTTGATAAAATGAATATAATGGAAAATTGCATTTACGTCCATACAGCAATTATTGTAAATTACTTTGCTATGGAAACACAATTCAACCATCTGTTGGTATTTCATAGTGTCTGTGGTTTAGCTCAGTTTAAAATGAAGCATTATTTAAATATAGGGAGGCTGTTTGCAAATAGCTTTGAAGATAAGTTTTGAAAATGCGTATTACCAAAGTGACGTGCTAAGGAGCTCACCGGGTCACATACCAATTCCCCTGGTTTTGGGGTATAGGAGGGTTCATGACACTGGGCATAATTTAAAACTGGGAACAAGCAAAGCGGGCTGCAGAAAGTGGTGGCTTACGGTTGTTTCTTAACATCTGTCTGGCGGGTTTGCTTAGATTTTAGCATCCAGACAAAAAGAGTGCAGAGGTGCTGCAGCAGCTGGTTGAAATCCTCCTCCTGCGGAGCGCCCAGTGCCCAGGCTCCCCCACCTCGGCTGGCACGGACTGACGCCAGGCGCAGGCTGAGAGAAATGAGTTGGAGTTCCTAGCCCCGGTTTTCCTTGTCCGTGTTTAGGGAACTTACTCCCTCTTTGCAGTTTCCCTCATACATAATTTGTATTTTTACCTGTGTTTTTTAGCAAATGTGTATTTTAAGTCATTGTAATAACTTCTTAGGATTTTATACCTGTAATAATATGATTGAGGTGATACGAACCAAGGGAATTTCTAGTTGCTTTCTGAAGAGAGGAAAGGGGATATATCTTCTATGACATAAACGCTGAGTACACAGGTACCCCCACCCCCAAACCTAGGAAAATAAGACTGCCGTAACAAAGGGGGAAAACATCCTTATAGTAAGCTAACAAATGAACCATTATCTTTATCAGTAGTTTATCATCAGTGTGATCAGTGAATCACAGTTAAAAGAAAAAAAAAAAAAAGAAAAGGAGCAAAAGCTCTTCCAATGCTAATGACAAATTTCAAGGAAACGGAAGTGTGCTTGCAATATTTGTTACTCTTAAAAAAAAAAAAAAATCTGAGGAACGCATAAGGCTTTTGCAGCTCGCTGAGGTTCCTCTTGCCAAGAGACTATCAGCACCTGGTAGCCCTGATACCCATCTCTGTGTCACTTCAATAAAAGAGCCTTCCTGCTGCTGCCCGCTCCCCTGCCTGCCTGCGCGATCTGGGCAATGGTTGAGTTCAATAGTTTGCTCTCCGGTTTTGCTAGGGTGAAAATACAGTTTTGGAAGCAGAAACCTGTAACTCAGCTGGAATGTTATAAATCTGTCTTTGTTAGAGAAGAGTTAAATCCTTCATGTCAAAATACTTTTCACTGTGAATGATTTTGCTAGTTTGTTCATTCTAGCACAGCAACCACGGTAAAGGTTATCCATATTATACCAATTTGCTTTATATTGCATCAAACCTGCAAAATGTCAACATATCATATATTTTGTAATGCATTGATTCTTGGACAATAACTCTAACTCTTATTGTTTCTAAAAGGGTGCCGGTGCCAGAAGAAAAGAATGATTGATGGGAAACAGACACCAGCCTGTAGACACTCATCCTTTTGCTTCGGATACTGATTTATCAGTGCGTCTGGGCATCCCCTGCGAGCCCTGAACACGGAGGATCACTCAGGGTTATCAACAGCATAGCTGAAGACCTGCAACTTCACATAATATTATCTGCTATTGGACATCTTTTACAAGAAGCCCTGACAGATAAATTATAAGACAAAGGACAAGCCCTGTGTTGCTGTGAAAGGCTGTCATCGAGGTCTGGGTGGCTTCTACCAAAGTCTTCAACTTAGTGAAACAAACACCCTATCCTAATGCTTCACGTTTGAGTTGGAACCTATTTTATAAAATACATACATGTATATGTACATATATGTGTAATCTATAGACTGCACGTACACCAGTACTGAGCATCCTTACGAAGGTGACATAAAAGGATTTAGAAATGTATTTGTCAAGATTCCTGTCACTTCACGCCCTCTGGGTTACCGTATCCTCCATGATGCAGCACTACCCTTCTGTGTGGGGACACTATGACGTGTGTAAGACTCAGATTTACACAGAAGAAGGAAAAGTATGGGATTACATGGCCTGCCAGCCGGAAGCCAGAGACATGATCAAATACGTAAAAGTGACTCTGGATCCCCCAGATATAACGTGTGGAGATCCTCCTGAGACTTTCTGTGCAATGGTAAGGCAAGCTTTTAATTTTGCATAATTAGTGGGTATATATTTGTAATAGATGGCTTCCAAGTGGAAGCCCTATAGTGCACATGTAATTATCCAAGAAAATCTGCATCATATTCCGAATGTGAAAGTTTCTGCTGAACAAAATGCTGAGCACTACATTAAGCTGGGCAACGAGATGTTCTACTTATGGGGACCTAACGTGACTTTGCCTGAATTCGGTGTCTCTCTAGGTCAACTTTTAATGACTTAAAAGAAAGCAGCTTAAAACTCCTAGTGCGCTAACCCGTACCTGGGGTGCATTTGCCTGGATCATGAAAGACTTGAGTGACTTGATTCCAATACAATCGCCTGAAAGCATCATAGCGTGGTATAATTCAGCATAATTTCCAAACATGAGACCATTGTTAGAAACTCAAACTGCAGAAGCTTAAAACGTGGTGGCGGGAGCTGGGCTGGTGGAGTTTTTCCAGCAAGCCCACGCAGCCGCGGGCAGCGTTGCTGGAGCCTTGCTGCCGCGCGCAGCAGGTCCGTACCAGCAGGTCCATACCTGCGAGTGAGACAGTGCGAAAGAAACACCTTCGGGTGGGGGCCAGCTCTACCAACTACTGACAGCTTTCTTCTTTAACTGAAACTGTAGGCATTCAAGCCAACTAAAAGAGACCAAAGTCAAGCTCCTTAATTTAGATGCTCCTAAAATTAGAGACTAGTTTGGGAAATGTTGGGCTTGGTAAATAATTGTACAGGTATGAGAAACCAGGCAGATACTATATATATCGACCTTTTACAGCTGTGCTGCTGTGCAGTGTTTGATAGATTGTGCTGTAAGAGGTCATTCAAGTTAAAGGAAATCTTCAAATTATAGGTAACTTGTTTCTCCTCACAAACATGGAGAATTCATTTTCTTTGCCACTGAATATTTCTGTTAAATATTGAGCGGAAAATACAGTATTCCTTGACTAGAAAATGTGAGTTTGAGATGCAAAACATATGTACTTACATCTATTAATAAAGCACTGGAAATATACATCACATTACCTACATAATTTAGATCTGAAAAACCAATGAGTTCTGGTAAGTGAGGTTATTGTAACTGAGAAAAGTCTACAAGATATTTATTTGCCTGTGTACAAATCATCATTGCTGTGTGACAGCATCCCCACAGGAAGGAAATTTGCTTTTAAATGCCTTATGGTATCATTTTCAACCACTACTGTTCGGTAAGGAGTTCAGGTCCAACCACACATACATTTAGGGCATTATGTGCGTGCATGCAGCTGCTTCCCACGTACATTATGGTAATAAGCCACGTGATAAATTGCGGAGCTACGTGAATAAATTACATTCACTGTGAACCTTTGACTGCACCACTTGCTCTCTGCCCACTAATCCATCTCTACTGACATGGCTTTGACACTCTAAACCTCCGAGCAGTTTCAAGCAGCCACTGTTTAAAAACAAAAAAAAGCAACATGCCCTGCGTAATATAGTCTTTTTCTTTTTTCTTTAACTTGAAATGTATTTTCTCCCTCAGAATAGTAATAGCTGTGATTTAGCCCTCAATCAGTGACATTTAATAACTCATCATGCAGTGAATAAGAAAAGTTATTGTTTTAATGCAAAAGAAACTGCCCACCAAAACTTGTTTCTTTCTTTTAGTGCAGATAAACATTGCAGCAGTTCCTGTCTTAAGTAATTTTTTAAGTTTCTGAATGCCTTGGTTATCAGTCTGCTCTCTAGCTAGAATAATGATTTTTAAAAAAAAATAAAAGACATTTTGATTAAATCTAAGTATTAAAAATGGTGCCTGAAAACGTTTGACCTAGCAAGGTCCTTGATGCTGTGATGGGGGATGAAAGTTTGCTCAGGAGTCACCTGAGGTGATGGGTGTAGCTCACTTGCTGCTTAAGCCCTTGAGATGCAGAAGGTCACCAGAATTCGGACACGATGAGTAGAGAAAGAAGAATAACTGGGGAGAGGGAGAGAGAGCACGCACAATGAGGGAGTATATGTAGTGATGTGAGTGTAGCGTGACTGACTCCTACATGATAAACTGTTGTATTTACTTTCAGTATAGATGTATATTGTACACATACACTATATTCACATATGCATATGGTAATTGCTTGACGTACTTGACACATTAGAAAAATGACAGAAATATTTGACTGAGGCACTGCACAGCAGCAGAGTACTCTCATCCCTAAAAATGCTTCATGTCTACCTGTAGATAGACTATAGCTACATGTAGAAATTACACATTTCCTTCAAAACAAGGTTTTAGATATTTGTAGGGCTGAGCTTTTAGCATTTCCCAATGAGGAGATCTTTTATTTTTGTGTTCATTTTTAGTTTTAGAAAATGAGTTAAGAAGAGAGCACTGTCATACTTGGAGAAGGTGGGCAGTGGAAAAGAATGCATTCCTGTTAGGCATGTTCTTGCACTGAAAAATACCGAATTTGAAATGACAGAGATCCAAAGGTTTCTTTTCAGCACGATGAAGTGCCAAATTGACTTATACAAATGCTTGGGTTTATTGTTGCGAGTATTGGATATTTGCTGTGTACCAGTGTTTTGTTATTGAAATCAGGTTAACGCTCAACTGCCTTCTGGTAATTCCTTGGGGGAGATCAGGGTCCTTTCACATATCCTAACAATAAGCAAGGGTACCAAAGAGCTGAGCCTGCTTCTGCAGGAAGAGGAGGAGGTTGAAGCAGCCTCCTGTTATGTTTCCATATCAGTTCTCTGATCAGGCTTAGTAATTTTCTGTTCACCAGAGACTATACAGACTAAGGTACTAGCTGTTGAGTCTGTGTCAGCGATCAGTGTAGTATAGATTATATCCCTGAAACACAATCAGACCGAGAGGTTCACCCAAGTCCTGCTGGGAGATTATGGTAAAATCTAAGGCGTTTTGTGAGAGGGAGATGATAATAGTCTGCAATAACACACAATGCAATACAGAGGAGACGGGCACTTAATGGTAAAGTTTGCTTCCTACTTATTTCTGCATATTCCCCATGGAATTAAATGTTCTTACGAGTCTATTATGAATTTTTACTCGGTGAGCTTGTTTAGTTGACAGACCGAATAACAAGGTTTTGTACATGCAGATTTGTTGCAAAATGCAACACTCCTCTAGTTGGTAGCTAAACCCAGCACGTGGCAGCTCACCACTTGTACGTACCTTTGGGTCGTCCCTCCAGGACGGCATCCATAGGTATTATGGGAAACATGCAGCAGGGAAACTATCCCACAATTGCTTTTATGCAATCTATTCTGAGAATAACATTATAGTTTCTGGTGACATTCAGTATTGACAACTCATGAGATTATTCTGAAACCTCAAACCCCTGGAGTCCTATGATTACGTGAGATTCTCAGCTTTCATTTAAAACATTGTCTTTATTTTCTTAGTCCTTCTGGTTGCAGAGAAAAGTTTGATAATGAAACTGAGAAGCTCAAAAAACAGGAGCCAAATAAACAGCCCTCCAAATTATTATTTGTTTAAAATCTCATCATTTTTAAAGTCACTCAGGATTTTTAGAGCTTGGGAAAGGGTTTTGCTCGAGAGGAGAGATGCATGAAAGAAACACATAAACAAATGAAAGCCTTAGAGCAGTGAACGCTCACGGTTTCCGGCTGCGGAGTTGCTTGTGTCTGTAAGGAGGACGTGACAGCATCCTTCCCCAACAGGTAGTACTGCTCCTGCCTGCGGGGTAACCAGCCCCCTGCGGGGGGGGGCTGACTGGTCACCTCTGTACGTTTTAAAGCAAGCTCTGGCTGCTTAGAGTGAGGCACACATGCTGGCAGATTATGCACATCTGCTTTCTGTGGCATTCCTTCGAGGAAATTTGGCCGTCCTTTGTCAGTTGCAGAGTTGGACTGGACAGTCACGGCATTTGAGTCAGCGTGACCATTCCTGTGGGTCTGTAATTCATGAACTTTGAGCATTTGGCATTGGTAAGTCTGGCACCGAATTCTTATGCTTAGTTGGCCTGGGAGGAGAGGGAAGGGGAAGGAGAGGAGGGAAGAGAAAGAAGCTACTTCACGTTTTCCAAACTGCAGGATTCATTGTGCAGAGATACTGTAAGCAAATTTTTAAGTACCTGGGGGTGCTAGTTCTTGTGGCCTGCAACATTTCTCTTACAAAATAAATCTGCTTTAAATCCCCGGGAGTAACTAACAGTTGGTGAAATCTTCTACTTCCCTCTTTGTGAGCACTTGTGACAATTTCACAAAACTCTGTCCGGTTATAAAAAGAAACAAATCTGACTTTTCATGACCGTCACCATTTTTTGCCCTACAAGAACAGTGCATAGGTGGCTTCCGACTTTTTTATTTCTAAAACGTTTGCCGGCTGTGCCCCCTGAGCATCGGAAGCCCCCGCGGTGCCGCTCACGGCTTGGGGGTCCCTTCGCCCCAGAGTCGCACTGGCCCCTCGCACGGGCTGGCCCCTGTGCTGAAATCCAGCCTTTAGCACGGGTTTTGCATTCAAGCCTTAGCCAGGATTAGTGTGTCAATTCATCACAAACTTAACTGGGAGACTCCTAGTGGCTATTGCTGTAATTTGCAAACTGGAGACAAATTTACCTTACCAGCCTGTGTTTGCAGCTGAAATGGCAACATAAAAATACAATTTCCTGCCTATGTTTAAACCTAGCTATCATAACACCATCCCACATCCCAGTGGCTAAAAAATGATGAAATTATCGGCAATTATTGTTGCCTGCAGCTAATTTTCTTCATAGGTTAAACAGAAGCTTGAAAAGAAGCCTACAGACGGGAGTCCTGTGCGTTGGTACAATTTATAGAGCAGAAATGCTGATGACAGTAGAAATTTGAGCCCTTGAGTGCTACTCTGTATTTCATAGCCAATCAAAACTAAATTAAGAAACAAAGATTATTAAAAAGTCTTCTGTGCATGTAATTCTGGCATAATATTATGAGGTGGACATTAAATTTTTCCCTCTGAGACTTTCAGCATCATTAATATAGCATTCC